TTAAGGTTCAAAACTTTTAGTTTGGTTGTTTAATGAATCTATAGACTTGCTTTCTATTTTGAGCTTAACCACCGTTTAAGCTAAACGGGCTTGATACAACCGGCCCCAGGACTATAAAGTGACAAAGCCTTTGCGGAGGAGATAAGGACATTTTTCGCCAAGTCATTTTGTCAACTAGTCAAAAGATAACATTGGGAGAGATATGGTTTGAGACTTTGTTGAGTCAAATATTTCACTAATCACTATATCATCCCTCTTCTGTTGCTTTCTCTCTAGTTCAAAAATTTTCTTTATTTCTGGCATGGTAACCGCGAGGTAATGCGAGTTTAGCCGATTTAAGTTTATTCATATATGGCGAATTAAGATCCCAGATAGGCCTTCGATAGCTCTATCAGTTCTAAACCGGTTCTTCCTATAATGCCTGGTAAATAGATCCATTATAGACCGATTTAAAAAAGGATTGTCACCAAGGAAATCTCTGCCGCCTTATAGAATACTCAGTCAAGACTATCACTTTTACAAAATAAACACACATTTTATTTTACGGACCCATTGTCGTTTACATGCACACAAAGTGTGGACAGGCTGAGGTCACGAAATTCTAATCTCTAATATGCGAAGCACATTAACTTTTGTTGCTTCTAATTACTCATTAAGAAAATGCTATTAAATCACCTACCTATAATTAAGCTTGTGAATTGCCACAGATTACTACATTAACGAGATATACGGCGCAGACGTTGCGTCGATAAGCTCATATTCGACGACTGTTACAGTAAATTTAATACCCATGTGGAACGGTCTAGAACGTTTTGTTACATGTCATTGTGCATTAGAGAAGCTGTGAATTTTGATACGTATCTTTTGTTTAAACAATTAATTACATTGCACATTACACTTGAAGAGCAATGCAATCTGCTACATAAACAGTAAGGGCCAATTATGTAATTAAAAAATGCCATTGTTTCAAATCCATATTACCACATTCATGCAACTCTTGAGATATGATGATACAATATGTTTCAGCTTTGTCAGCCCAAATAATGTGAAGGACACACGTTCCATTACCGCCAGAGCCCAGGAGGTTATGTTTTCAACCGCTTTTGTTTGTGTGTGTGCGTTTGATGTGCGTGTGTGTTCATCTGTCGACACGAGAACTGAAAAACTATCAAACGTATTAGTACGAAAATTTATTAGACTAGTGGACATTGCCCAAGGACAAATCGATTAAATTTTGATTAAATTTGGATGAAAAATTAGCAAAATTTTGTCTTGTTTTGCCTAGCAGTAATTAAACAGAATGTGAAATTACCTCACTGACACTGTATAATTTATGTATGATTCGCTGGCAGAGGTATTCAGTCTCCGAGGTATTATATCACCGCTGAAACATCGTAGGTTTCTCCTGTTCCCTCCTCAGGCCTCCTGTAGTAAGTAACACTGAACCATGAATAGGCCTTGGCAGAACAGTTTAGTCTTTAGACATGATCGGCTTTCATAATGTAATATATAACATTATGAATTTGTCCAGTTTACACAGTGTTATTTATAATTTTATAGATCAAGTATATACGTGACAATAGGCTGACAATGCAACAAGCTTACATCATACATGAGACAAGTTTTGAACAGGAGAAAGGAACATATATGACTTTCGACCCAATTAACACCTATAACCCCTAGTAAAACTCGATGTATGGATGAAATGAGATCCCAAAAGCTATCGATTCTATCGAAAGAAAAAACCCCAAAGATGAACAAAAATGAACAAATTTCATTTACCTCATTTCTTCAAGAAGAAAGAAGGAAAATATTCACTGTAGTAGTCATCGCATGTTTGACCCATTTTAAAGCTTAAAAATAAAGTACTATACTTTTATTCTACAGTTGGTTCGATGCAAGCTATTGACTGCCGCCTGTATTGTATTAAATACACGCATATGAGACTATTTTCTAGTCGCGCGTTTTAATTCATTAGACAGATTAACGACCTGAACAGTGACGCTATTTTCTAGTTAACAACATGAACAAATTCAAAGCAGTCTGTGTAATGTGTTTGTTGCATCATGAAGTAATTTTTACATCTATGTGTTAGATGTACAAGTTCTGAAATGCTGGTACATACAGCTATTTCAATCAAGGTTGTCCCCCGAGCAAAGCGGAAAAGTCGAATACGTGCGCGAAAGGCTGTTGAGATCGCTCCCAACAGCCTTTCGCGCACGTATTCGACTTTTCCGCTTTGCTCGGGGGACAACCTTAATTGAAATAGCTGTATATATATGACAATATTTAATACACTATGCAGTTCCAATAATTTATATTAGGCGTTTTTAAGGCGTGTGTATACGATTCGCAATTGTGGATTTGATGCGAGTTTTTGTGCCTGTCTTCATCAAGCAACAATCAAGATATACGTTTAGCCTAAGCTGTTATCAACGGATTCGATGCCACAATATTGACTAGATTTTTCCGACATCTTAAATCATTTTTCAAAAAGAAAGCTAGGATTTTGCAAGTGATTTGATCATATGCAATCTTTAAACGAAATAATAAAACAGCAATCAAGACTACGAGTTCGAAGGTCAACGAACTCTCTCAAACTCTCGCGACGTTTATGCTGCTTTCCTGAACTACGGCTATGATCCATCATGTATTTAACTATACAACTAGAACCAAAACTCTTCTCCTGGGAAATCCGTATGTTTTACATACTTATGTATTCTCAATCTTTCGACTTACCTGAAAATTAAGAACTTATCAAGTGTAAATTTCCCAATCTACGGAACATTCTCATGTCATCGCAAGCTGCTGTTACACGCGCAGACGTTAGACCACTCCAATGAACACTTGTGCGTTTATTAAAGTCATACCTTAATTGTCAGCATGTAAGTTGTCTTTAAAGCTCTGCAGGTAACACTCTTTCTTAAGATGCAGCCAGTGATGTTGGTCCGTTGCAGAAAACAGGAAATAACATACTGTTATCAAGCGTATATCTTTGTTCGCGGGTCTTTGTTGCGTTTTTCTCTTCTCAAACAACAAAGTCAATTGTTGCCGTATCCGGTTCTTGAACCTGTGTTTGTTTTCGTCAAAATTTGTCTTTAAGATGCCGTCGTTGAAAGATTGTCGATGTGAAAATCGACTTAATATTTATCAAAGTTATTTCAGATTATTGCTAGATTTATATGAAATGCCTCGTTTTTAGCGCACTTAGCGTCATCGGCTCCGTTATAACCCGGCCCCGACGGGGGGTATGGAGATTTCTGCCCTTCGCTATCTGTAGGATTTGGGAGGTCTGTGATTTATTTTTCAATATCTCAACACTTGAAAATAAATGGTCTCATTACGAGTGATCTGTAAATAATTATAGCCCGATATAGTTGTGTGATTATATGCTCTGTAAGTCCCATGTAAAGTAATGCCTTCAGCGTGATGTACGCGAAAAATTCCGGCAACTATCGCCTGCCATTTTCAAGCTTGCCCGGTGTGGATATACACTCAGAGTAACATCACAAACGTCATATTCACCTGAGTACACAACACCAACACAGAAAAAGAAATCATATTACTAGATTGCATTGATATCGAAGGAACTAGACTCAGTTCCGAAATATCAGATACTCGAACCGACCTGACCGCGTAGCTCAGTTGGCAGAGCATTGGACTAGTATCCCAAAGGTCGTAGGTTCGATTCCCCCCCGTGGCCAGGCATATTTTTCAAGCTTGCCCGGTGTGGATATACACTCAGAGTAACATCACAGACATCATGAATCATTCAGTTCACTTGTTTTTTCCACAGGAATGCTATGTTGCCCGCGTGTTGTTGTTGCCGAACATGGCGGCCTGTCATGGGTACGATGACCACAATTTAATCAAAACCGCGAATATCCTTGTCGGCATGAGTTTGCCACCAGCTATTGATGTAACATGTTAATGAGGATTTCGCTTCAAAGTGCTGATTTCAGAACACTGGAATCGTAGTATAATGCGTTGACTCTGAATTACAACTAGTATTTATTCTCTCTGGATACTGAACAACTTGCAATGGAATAAAGCAAGATTGATGCGAAGTAATCAGTATTATAAGGTTAGTTTTCGTATAGTATAATAGTGTGACGCAGATACTGTTTGTATTTTGAATAAAATAAAATGATACGATGGATAAGATAATATTCTTTATTTGAGAGGCCTTCAAAACGTTATGTGGAAAAGCTAGTATTAATAAAAAAAATATTATATTATTGTCTCCGCTATAGGCCTAGCTAGGAGATTATGTTTTCCCTTGTGTTTGTAGGTTCCGTGTTTCACTGCTGGGAAAATAGTTTACAAAGATAGTTAATCACTTTGTTTTTGTTAGTGTGTTTGCAAGTCACCTGGGTTACTGCAGCTGGGGTTTTTACCCGCAACAAAATTCTGCCCTTCCATCCAAGGCTACGCTTTTAGAGGCGGCTATCATTGCTCGTTCGAGCCTTTGCAACTGAGTGCCCGAGTGCGTAAACTTTTAAAAAAAAAAGGAGATGAAAAACGGGAACTCACTCAATGGACCTATTCCCTAATAACCAAAATTTTGATCTCAACAAGTCTAGACAAAAATTTCACCACAGCTTGAAAGAGCATCACAAAATTAGTAATATTCCAAAGTTTCGGTGCGAAATAAAATGCAGAAAATATAACCCTGCGAAGCTTTGCCGTGGCCTTCAGTCATTTTGTTTATACGCGCGGGAAATTGATACCGCTTTCTGAAAAAAGGTATCAGGCAAACTTCGCAACGACTGGAATTAGACAACATTCACACGGCACCGGAGGGAAATAATGGTGGCAGAATTTACGTGTGTTCACACTTTACCGTTACAGTTTGTTTACAAATTAAATTAGCACTCATCACTATCTCAAATAGAGCCAAGAAATTTAAACGAAAAGCATTCAAATTTACTGTTTTGAGACCTGAGATGCTTGCTTTGCAAGCGGCACAAAAAGGTAACGGCGTTTGTGTTCACACGAAGCCGCCGAGCTAGCACTCGTTTAGAAACCGTGCTCAACTGTTGTTACGGCAAAAGTGACGTTTTCAAACAATTTCGCTCCGACGCACTGCGAATGTAGCCAACTAGTCTTCGTTTGTTTTCTAGATGTTGCTTCATTACGTAATTTTCATCATTCTATTCAACTACATCCCACAACTCCACGGCTTACAAACCAAAATTGTGCCAAAACAGAGTATTCGGTCTGCATATGGAAAATACCTAAGTGGTCACGTGTTCAACGTGACGTCACAAGCTGCGCACATCCAGCATTGCTTGGCGGATTGTTGGGCAGAGAATGATCGCTGTCAGAGTTTTAATTACATCGTGGATTTGAATAAGTGTGAATTAAACGAAGCAAGCAATCTGACCAATCCCCGAGATCTCATTGACAGGCCTGACATGGTCTACTTGACGAATCCAATGTTTGGACGTGAAAATGTATGTTGATATTTAGTTTGCCACCATCATCATCATCACCACCATCGCAACCACCAACATCATCATTATCGACCTTGCACCATAATCATTACTGTCATCACTATTATCACCATCATCACTGTCATCACCATCATTACCATTATCTCCCCCATCATCGTCATCACCATTATCACCACCATCATCATCATCACCATCATCATTATTATCACCATCATCATCATCATCATCATCATCATCGTCACCATTATTACCACCATCATCATCATCACCGTTATCACCATCATCATCATCACCATTATCATCACCATCATCATCACCATCACCATTATCATCATCATCACCATCATCATCGTCACTGTGTTCCACGCACACCTCCTAAAATTTGTTCATTTTCTGCTTTAGAGACCACAAATGCCACGGTACACAAAACAAATGCCCGTTACTCCGTTAGGTTTGTATACATTGGCAATGACTTTGTATGGTTGATGCGCAAAAAATCTTGATATTTTCATTGCACAATATAGATCCTTGTGCAAGCAATCCATGTGAACATGCGAAATATTGTGTTAAGGATGACAAACTCGGATATCGGTGTGAAAATTGTCATTCAGGTTACCATGGACCCAGATGTGAAGAATGTAAGTTTGTATTACAAATTTTAGCAAGACAATATTCGTTATGGCGGTAACGATGATGTCTTTGGTGGTGATGATGGTGGTGATAATGATGATGGTGATGATGGTAGTGGTGGTGATGATGGTAGTGATGGTGATGATAGTGGTAGTGATGATGGTGGTGGTGATGATGGTGATGATAGTGGTAGTAATGATGAGATGATGGTGGTGGTGATGATGATGGTGGTAGTGAAGATGGTGGTGGTGGTGATGATGATGATGATAGTGGTGGTGACGATGGTGATGATGGTGGTGGTGATAATGATGGTAGTGATGATGACGGTGATAATGGTGGTGGTGATGGTGATGATGGTGGTGGTGATGATGTTGATGATGATGATTAATAATAATTAACTGATATTTCTTTTAAAGATGTGGATCCATGTAACTCTCGTCCCTGCCAATGGGGAGGCACTTGCCACAGTGTCCTTACTTCATGGAGATGCGAATGTCCACTTCCGTTTACTGGATCAAGATGTACAGAAAGTAAGAATGAGATTAATTATTGTGCAAGCTAGGATGAAAGTGAGACTACTGTGGGTTATGAATAGACGTGGTGCAAAAGCCAAATCAAATTGTTTTTATCGTTATGCAAACAGAAACGTTTTTGTAATACCTTACTCTTTTTTTCTAGTGCACAATAGATACCAGTTTGATCTTGATGGGACAGGCGACCATCCATACGTGATAATGAATGATCGTGACTACAGTGCGTTTACTGCCAATTTTTGGTTTAAAACTGCCGAGAAAAATGTCTCGTACTTAGTTTATGGAACAGCAGACAACCATAAAATAAAGGAGCGGCTCATTGTTTGGAGAGCTGATAACATCTTTTTTGTCGAGTTATGGAAAGATTCCGTGTAAGTAGAAAGAATATACGACTTTTAATAGCATGTCGGTTTGTGTGTTGTTCCATCGACCGGGTGGTCAGTTATCCTGTAAGCCAGCCAGCCGGTCACTTGGTCAATATGTCTGTTGGTCACTTGGTTAACCAGTCGATTGGTCGGTCAGTTGGTTGGTCAGTCAGTTGGTCGTTCAGTTGTTCGGTTGGTTGGTCGGTTCGTCTGTCTGTCTGTCGGTCGGTCGGTCGGTCGGTCGGTCGGTCGGTCGGTCGGTCGGTCGGTCGGTCGGTCGGTCGGTCGGTCGGTCGGTGAGTTGGTCGGTGAGTTTGTCTGTCGGTCAGTTGGTCTATCAGTCAGTTGGTCAGTTTTAAATCTTTATTGCCTCCAGTTTCTAAAAACTGTAGTTATTTACAAAAGAAGTATTAATAATAAAATATAGATAATGAAAAGATATCAATTATTACCTAACTAGCTAACTAAATTGACAAAATTGTACTCCTATAAGTTATAGGAGTACAATTTTGTCAATTTAGTTAACCAGTTAGGTAACAAAGGGTAACATGGCTTGCAAATTTCAGCAATAACTGGCCAGGTGTCCATGTTTGCACATACTTCTGACCTTTTACCTAATATAACTAAGAGAAATTCCATGTCTGTTAAACTTGCTGGATGTACTGCCATTTCAATTGGCATATCGTTTATCCATTCCCATAGTTCCTCTTTTGATTGGCTTGTGCCATTACAGTACAGTAATGCATGCATTACAGGATTTAAGTAATTGCTACTACAAATATCACAATAGTCTCTATAAGTTTCTGGTTTGTTCACCAGTTTTCCTTTAATTTGAAAGATATCCATAGAGTAATCTTAGAACATCATTAATTTGTTTCATATAATCAGGATTCGTTTTAGCTAATAACCACCATGGTGAGATTTCATTCACAGGATGAGTTTCTGCATAAATCTTTAGTTGACCATGTCTACCTATTTCTTCTTTCCAAAGATTGTTGTAGTAGTTGTATATGTGCTTTTTTGATAGTTTCCTTCCATGCAGATTTGCTTGGAAATTGATCAGATAAACTACACACTCACCGAGTATAAAGTACACTCTGTTAGAAGTCCATAAGATAATGTTTCAAAAGAATACGTACAATATCTGGAATAAATCCTTTTAAGGTGTTTGTATGGTTCCATGTCCATCGTATCAATCTCATGAGAAAAATCCTTCGGCACAGAATACCATGGCTCACAAATATAAGCAGTCCCAGAAAATACAATTTGCGTTTATTCACTTCAGCCTTGATTGTTAATAAGCTCCCTGAAAACCTTCGAGCAACAGACCTAGATATCCCAGGTAACAACCCATGCATAATGAGCACCGTAATATTTTACACTTCTCCAGTTCGACTAAGTCATCGCGATTCAGCTGCAAGAGCTCACAACCGTACAGCATCATTGGAACTCCAGTACGCTTCCATCACTCAACTGAAATTATAGGATTTAATCCTCCATATCTAGCACCCATTTTCATTAAAACCATGGGTGCTGGATATCTATCTTCCATTACAGCAAACCCCTCAGTATGAGGATTATTAGGAGGATTAAATCCTATAATTGGTCGGTCAGTCTGTTAGTGAGGCTCTACTCTAATCATGCTATGAATATTTCAGATGCAACTTTACTTTTCCAACATCGTATCCTGTTAATGACAACAATTGGCATGTAGCAACCATGGTGCTTGGTAGAAACGCCGAGTTAAGTTTTTATCTTGACGGCGTAATGCGTGATTCTCCGAAACTTACTGAAGGAGAACCCAATCGCAATGACCTTTATCGTTGGTCAACAGGCGAAATACATCTTGGTTACTTTAAGGTAAACTTGCAGTCGTTAGAGTAAGAGCTTTTTGGAACGTGGATTCTCACTGTAGATTCATCATAGCCCTAGAGTTTCTCAACGCTTTATGCTGTACGTCTTCTCCGGGTATTCCGGATACCTTCCACAAAGAACCGGTTGGCAGGATGGCTTGGGGTAACTTCAAACTAACCCTCTCGTCGTATTTATCGTTCGTGATCGGACATACGTTGGCAGTCAAAGGCATTCCTAGTAAGCAAAGTCGAAAAACTTTTTTCCTTTCCTAATTATTTAAAAGCCCCGGTCAAACAAGTATGAGGCGAGAGTTGGCAGTAACGAATTGTTACTCAACGGGGGACATTTCAAGCTCTAGATTAACAAAATAAAGATTTGATGAGTGTTCCAACTATGTTTTAACTTAAATAGAATACATGATAATGTTGGGAAACACTGATTTAAGAACAGCTAACCACAAAAAATTGTGCTCGCTTTTTCTTTCATAGGATTCAAATGGAGAAGAACACTTTTTCAATGGCTCCATTGCCCATTTTGATATCGATGCACAAACCTCAGATTATGATTACATTCGAGATAAAATGGTGTTGCCGTGTCCGCCACGCTTTGAAGGACGGTTGCTTAAGGCGAAATGGGCAAGACTAATTGACCTTGCACGACCTGTTACTTGTTCATCAAGAGGTGAGTTGTATACCTGGGAGCGAGGTATAGCAATCTCGTTCCCATCTCTTACCTCTTGTGGAGGAAAAACCCATGGTAGGAGCTGCTAACGTAATCTGCTAAAATCTACCTGAATAAATACTTTCTTGTATTAACATGATTTTAATAGGCCTCCTCGTTGCCCTTTCGTCCTGCTTGTTGACGTTCTCAATAACGCGGTAGTTCTTTATAATTATAAAAGTGTAAAATTGTATAAGGCGAGACTTTTTTTATTTATTGGTTTACGGATTTTACTTGAAAAAAACAAGGTCGGTAGGTCGGAAAACAAATTTAAAAAAACATTGTTTTTCAAGATTGAAGATGAACCAGAAGTACTTAGAAACAAGGTTTACTTGGCATGTACTTTATGTAGAACCCCAAATTAACGAAAATCGTAAAATTATTGATATCCGCATTTTTTTTTTATTTTTCACTTTCTGAATATTTACGGTCGGCGGATCCGTAAACCAATGAATAAAAAACGTCTTGCCTAAAAGTGTAAAAAGGCTGTTTCTTGCCACGTCTCCGTACTACATTACTCCTTGCTTAAGTTCGCTAGTACATCGACAACACGGCCGCTAGCTCATGTTGTGAATAGGTTGATTGTTACAAACAAGTTGTTTCAACAAGTCTAATACAGGCTGTTCGTAACAAGTTGCTACAAGCTTGTTGTCATCAACTCGTTAACAGCTTGTTACTTGCAGACCATATCAGACTTGCTGGAACAACTTGTCGCGAGTCTGTTGACCTCATCAACCTTGTTACAAGATGCAACAACTTGTTACAGACAATTTAACAACTGGGAACAATCAGTGCGAACACAGCTTGTTATTTAACAAACTGTGAGGTTTTCTACACATGTAGCAAGCTAACTTCGTGCAACAACTTGTTACAGACTTGTCAACAACTGGGAACAATCAGTGCGAACACAGCCTGTTATTTAACAAGCTGTCAGGTTTTCTACACATGTAGCAAGCTAACTTCAGCGGTATACATACGTAAAAACGCACAAGTTGTTACAGGTCTGCAAACAAGTTGTCACAAATCTGCTTTTTCTTAGTTGTTGTAACAAGTTTGTAACAAGTTGTTAACAACTTGTCATAGGCTTGATAGCATTATCAGACTTGTTACAAGGTTATTCTAACAAGTCATACTAACATGATACACCAAGAATGTTGCAAGGTTGACGACACAAAGTTGTAACAATGTTGTTATATTATGACTTTATTGGATTTGTTGGAACAACCTTACAACAAGTATGATAATATTGACAAGGTTGTTACAAGTGTTAACAAGTTGTTCCATTGTTGTTGACAACTCGGGACAATCAGTGCGAACACAACTTGTTGACAGCTTGTTGGCAGATTTGCTACAAGATGTGAGATTGTTGCATGTGTAAGGGGCAGTCAGTCAGCGCGCATGCTATGCATATCTGTTACCGCTGCGCTCACCAATTCTCTATTTGTTTGTTTATTCTTAGTTCCTCTCATGGGGCTACCAGCCCATCTGTTCTACAGCACCTCGACATTCAAATGGCTTGAAACTGAAGTTTCTCCGCCACGACATCTTACTGCATTCACGATAATTTTTGATCTTAGTTTTTCAAAGGATATGTTTCCCACTAAACCCATTCAAATCGCTTGTTATGGTGATCAGGGATCTCCTTGTCGTTTGTCTATTGTGATTCATGTGAATGTGACACTGGAAATAATCATAGAATCTACTCGGTAAAAACATAATTATACAGACATCTCTCTAATACGGACATCTCTCTAATACAGATACTTCTCTAATGCGGACACCTCACTAACACGGACACCTCTCCAATACGGACATCTCTCTAATACGGACATCTCTCTAATACGGGCATCTTTCTAATAAAGACATTTATCGAATACGGAGACCTCTCCAATACGGACATCTCTCTAATACAGATACCTCTCTAATACGAACGCCTCTCCAATACGGACATCTCTCTAATACGGACATCTCTCTAATAAGGACATCTTTCTAATACGGACATCTCTTTAGTACAGATACCTCTTTAATACAGAGACCTCTTTAATATGAACATCTGTCTAATACAGACGTCTCTCTAATACGAACACCTCTTTAATACGCACACCTCATTTTCTAATGCAGACATCTCTCTAATACAGATCGATACCTCTCCGTTACGCACACCTCTCTAATTCAGACACCTTTCTAATACAAACATCTCTCTAATACAGACCACACCTCTTCAATACGCACATCTTTCTAATACGAACAGATCTCTACAATACAGACACTTTTTAATAGGAACACCTCCATAATACGGACACCTCTCTGACACAGACCGGCTCTCTTATAAGGTTGCAATCATACAAATATATATCGACCTTGTATTTGTCTGCGGGTTTCGCCTTAAGTTGATGTATTTTAAAATAACTTTGCTTTTTAGCTTCGATGTGGACCTGATTCCGTTGTTCAATGGTGTACACTTTATAATGGTACTGACTTGGACAAGTAATGGAGGTGTGTTTGAGTTGCTGATTAATGGCGTGCTACACTCAAGAATTCGTGACATCGAAACGAATGGCCAAATAACTGGTCAAAGTCGATTTATTATCGGTGGTTCTGATGTTAAGAGTAGAAACTTTGCTGGTTATTTTCATTATTTCAACGTCTGGGACAAGGTTGGTTTGCGATATATAATTCATATCACATCACAATACATTATCATGACAGTCGGTCACTCAGTCATTCAATCATTCAATCATCTCTAGTAGCTTGATCATGAAAACCCTTTCATTGTGTTTGTTGAGCTTCACAGACTTGTTACGAGTTGTTCCAAAAACTTGTCACCTTCCCGCAATTCAACAATTTGTCAACAAGTTACGAGTGACAACCTTGTAGCAACTTGACAAAATGACAGTATTGTGACATTTTGTTGACAATCTTGCTGCAAGCCTGTTGCGAACACGTCTTGTTGACAAGTTGTGAAAATTTTACGTGTGCAATAAGAAGAATTCGCACATTCCCATTTGATAAAAATGGTTTCGTTTACAAGGTGTTATCCGAAGATATGCTGTACTTGATGAACTTGCAACCGGGAATAGACATGGGGAACGTTGTAGCGTGGAAAGACTTTAAGAAACCTCAAGAACAGTTTGAGATTCACGAAAGGAACACGGGGAGCACTTATCGTCGAAATCCATGTTAGTTTAACATTCGATATATATTTAATATTTTAAAGTGCATATGAAACGTTTATCATCTTATTTAAAAGAACTATAAAAACGATAGAGTAACTTCTTTTGCAGATTTTCGTTCCTTTGCCTCGTTGCGAGATATTCCGGTTAGTTTGTTACACGTGGCAAACTTTCTACGTGACAAAATGCATAATTTGCTGAAAATGTTATATATTCTTGTTATATATGAAATTAATATTGCGAGAGAATCCAGGTATTTGATGTTGTGGAATAACACAAATGCGCAATAAACGGTACTTCTATAATTTTGTTTGAAAATAGCAATATAATGAAAATAGCAATGTAAAACCTTGTGGCAAATCATATCAGCCATAATATGTCACGTGGAGTGACTTTATATTTGATAAAACTTATCCTAATTAGTATGATTATTTGCTGTGTTGGTGTAATGTACACTCAGGTGAATAACATGTTGGTGTAATGAATGTACACTCAGAGTAACATCACACAAGCATAGTATGATTATATAATGGTTCATCCTAATTAGTATTCTTTTGTAGTCGTATTTTAAGCCATTTAAAGCACTTGTAGTCGTGTTTTATCATATCTAAAACGCTCGGCTGCGTCTCGCATTTTAAATGATAAAACATTCCTACGCGTGCTTTAAATAGTACTTAATGATTCAAGCACGTTACTACGTTATAGGTGAAAGAACAGCCAGAAAATAAGTAAAACACACACCAAATCAATGTGGGAAAATGGGTTCAGAGTGAAGTGAACCAATTATATACATTATATTCTTAAACACTGGTCAACCTAAAGAAGATTAATACATTATGCCCATGCAAAGTGTTTCTAAAACGAAGCAACGGAGAAGAGAAGTTTCACTTTATAGTAGTTCTTTTAGATATAAGACACGAATACAAAATTGGTAGTTCCTTTCACTGTATCTGCCACCTATGCTTTCCTAATTTCATTGATCATGATCTTTCTAGTTGCTGTGAATAACTTCTTTCTCGAGTTCAAAAATGCTTCTGCGTATTCGAGGATCCCTATTTCGTGCTGCTCGTCCCAAACTGCAGTAACACTTACGATGTGGTTAAAGATAATCACCTTCCTTCCATCTACATTGTTTACTTTTAAACGAACGCGCGAAGAGCCCGAGGATATGGTGTTACGAGTGAAAGCACACGGAGAAATAATGTTGGCTATGGACATTAATACAAATCTAGAAGAAGTGAGGTAAATATTAAATCATAGACACAATAGTGACAAAAAACTGGATTTACATACGTAAAAACGCACAAGTTGTAACAAACCTGCAGCAGACTTGTAGCAATGCTGTTCCAACAACTTGTCAACAGGATGTGTTCGCACTGCTTGTTCCCAGCTTGTTGACACGTTGTTAACGGCTTGTTGGCAACTTGCTACAAGGTTGTTGAACTCAACAGACTTGTTACAAGTTGCTCCAAACACTTGTTATCGTCCTGCAATTGGACAATTTGTCAACAGGTTGTGAGTGCATGATAACCTAAGTATAGCAACTTCGCCAACTTTATATAACTGATAAGCATTATTACAACTTGTTGACAAACTTGCTACAAGCCAGTTGCGAACACATCTTATAATGTTGACAATTTGTGACATTTTTACCATGCTTTTTATCATAGAAACAATAAATATCTATTATTTCTGTGTTTTTATAAAAAACATATGAATGTTTGAAGTTAAGAAATAATACTATATTGCCATTTGTAAAACGCATGAATGGGATAAGGTGCCGAGTAATGCATTGTGTTAAGCTAGTTTTTTCACATTGATTTGGTTTTTTTTCTGCTTCGTATTAATTTATATAAAAAATTTTTTGCTTGGTGTTATAGAGATATTGTCTTGTGATATATTGTGGTTGCATGGTTGGTTGATAACACTTTGTTTAAAATGACCTAAAATGAAAAAATTGTTAGGAAAACACGCTAAGCTGAGCTGATTTCCATGGGGGAGGGGGAGTGTTTAAACACACAAATAAATTATTCTGAAAAAATAGAAAACCTAAGTTACTGAAGCTAAAACACACATAAATACAATATATAATAAATAGAATTATAGAAAACACAGCATGATATGACGTCATCCAAACTAAAAAACGCTACGGAAATTCAACAGACTGTTGTGCATCACAAACTTTATAACTAAACAGTTTAATTTTTACATAGGACGAAAGAGCTATTATTTAGCTTTTCTATGATACCTTTCTTAAACCGTAACGATGAGAAATGACCGTCAGATAAAAATTGTCTGTCGAAATCACATTTAATAGCACATTTTCCATCTTTGGGATTGAAAGACATTAATTATGCAAAGTTAATCAATCCAAAAGCAAAGCAAGCCTTCTGCAAGGTATTTGTTTCTGTTCAGTGGTTAATGAACCATGTTTAATGCAATAATGCACGTTCTTATGGTCTCACTGAGACAAAGATGGACGAGTTGAGCTTATTTTAGATAATTTAACATTCAATTTTAATTTCCTCTTGGGAAATGTTTATTGTTCGTTTTCCTTGCAACTCCCAACGGTGGAAGAATATGATTTCGACCGGGAATTTTTATTTGGCGAGATGTGGCCATTTCTCCTCGTTACGATTTAAAAAGAGTATCATTGAAAGGCTAAATAACTGTTCTTTCGTCCTATATAAAAATTGAATTGTTTAGCCACTCGTTTATGATGCACGACTAAAGGAATACCGAATGGTTTTCCGTGCAGGATTGCGTGATCCGTGCACGAGGGATGTCGCGAGACTTTCGGAAAGCGTAAAAATACTCGAGCCGCAGGCGAGTGTATTTTTACGCTTTCCAAAAGTCGAGCAATATCCCAAGTGCATGGATCACGCTATCCTGCTTGGAAAACCATTTGGTAATTGTTTTATAAAATAACTACAGTGAAACAATGACATTTTGTGAATCCCGCGAAAATCCCGCGAAGGCATTTTAATTCCTCGTGCAGGATAACCTGATCCTGCACAGCTATTACAGTCGATTTCACGAAACTTTGACCACAAATGTTCCGAACTTCGTTGTGAAGTTCGCAAGTTCCGAAGTTCGTTGCGAAGTTCAAAAGTTCATAATGATTCACAAACCAATTGATTGGCTTATTTTACTTCAGGGACCAATCAGGGATTTTGTTTACAAATTGGCTTGTGAAATGTGAATTCCAAAATGAACTTGCGAACTTCGCAACGAAGTTCGGAACTTTTGTGGTCAACGTTTCGTGAAATCGACTGTATAAACCAATCAAATTGCATGTTTCACTGTAGTTATTATATAAAGCCTGTTGAATTTCCGTAGCGTTTTTTTTGAGACACCTGTAGTGTATATCTCTTAAATGTATTGAGTATGTCACTATATGTTTATTTTTTAGCCTTGGAAATATTAGCACTATTAATTCGTGGAATTTCATCGCTTTCACGTGGGACACAAGTGGTGAACTGCACTGTAATATTAACGGAAAACATGAACAGATCAGCTCAAACTATAAACAAGGTTATATATTCGTCACGAGGGGCAAGGCATCGTGGACAATTGGAGGTAAAGTTAGTGGTGCGAATCTACTGATCACCGAGCTCAATATACAGGGTGCCTAAAAAAACGCCATGGAAATTCAACAGGCTGCCGTGTATCATAAACGTGGCTAAACAATTCAATTTTTACATAAGACGAAAGAACAGTTATTTAGCTTTTCAATGATATTCTTTTTAACTCGTAACAATGAGAAATGGCCATATACTCGCCAAATAAAAATTGCCTGTCGAAATCACATTCTTCCACCGTTGGGAGTTGCATGGAAAACGAACAATAAACAATTCCCAAGAGGGAATTAAAATTGAATGTTAAATTATCTAAAATAAGCTCAACTCGTCAACTTGATTCCACGGGCGCTTTTTCTCGGCGAAATGCGAATTATTTCGCCTGTTTCTTTTGAATTGCGACCGCTCGAATAAATTATTTCTACTTGAAAAGGGACTGAAACTTGCGTCTAATAGCTACAATTTTGAGAGATATTTCGTCCAAAATGATAAACACCTCATTATATGCATTAACATTTTTCGACCAGGACCTAGTACCCAATCTCTCCTCTCCTGAAATACAGGGTGTCTAAAAAACGTGACCCTTTCACCCTTTCGTTTGTAAACACCCAAACTTCATTCCCTCTGGGAGTTTAGAATGCATTGTAATTGTACGACTATATTAAAACTGACTGCATAAATTGCACATGAAAATTCCAATTGAAAGTTAATAAAACGACCTAGAATTAGTCACGTCAGGTCGAATAACAATGGTTCGACTACCAACCGAGAGCAAGGAGTATTTACAGTAAGCAAATTCCCAGGTGTATAATAACGCGATTTTAACAACAAAAGGGTGTTTCTACAGGTCACACTTTTTTCAGACACCCTGTAGAACCATTTCATTAGAGAGGTTAAGATACCCCGGTTTCGGTGTACGGGTACGAGTAGCATGATTTTGGTTAGCAATACTTTCGTCGATGTTTGTACCTTTACTTGTAATTAAGGTGCACATTTTTCGCATTGTATCATTGTCTATTGCAAGAAAACAGAAAAAGTATGATCGAATTACAGACATCATTAAAACAAGAAGACACTACTACACCGAAACCGAGGTATCTTAACCTCTCTAATGACTAGTGTTTCGTTCGATCATATATTTAGACCATTTAACATATTTAAAACAATGCTTGATGAAACAATACAAAAGTCTGAGTTCTAAAACGATGGATCAACGGGGTGACCAGTTCCTTGTCCTGGTAGTGTGATCATGCTTGTTTTTAATTTGCAGATAAAAACAACACATTCGTCGGGATGGTAGCTCAGGTTAATTGGTGGTTCCAAGTCGTACCCCCACCTGCTTTAATGGCACTATCTAAAGAGATCACTAGTCTCAGTAATGGCTGGACTTCGTTTCTTAGCCAAAATAGACATGTGGGACAAGTAGTTAGAGGATACCCGACCATGTACTACACGCCAGGTGCGCTCATCAAACATAACTCTAATACGAATACCTCTCAAAGCAGACACTTCTCTAATATAGATACCTCCCCAATACAGGCATACCTCTCCAATACAGACACTTCTCTAATGCAGATACCTCTCCAATACAGGCATATCTCTTTAATACAGACACTTCTCTAATGCAGATACCTCCCCAATACAGGCATACCTCTCAAAGCAGACACTTCTCTAATGCAGATACCTCCCCAATACAGGCATACCTCTCCAATACAGACACTTCTCTAATGCAGATACCTCTCCGGTACAGGCATCTCTCTGATACGGGACACCTCTCTAATACAGACATCTCTCCAATACGGACATCTCTCCAAAACCCTGGGCAAACTAGTAAACATTGTTGTGGAAACATTCAGTGTGATTCTCGATGTTTCCTCAAATGTTTTCGCAACAATGTTTCCTAGTTTGCCCAGGGCTTAACACAAACACTTCTCTAATTCGAACACCTCTCTAATGCGAAACGCTCTCTTATACTAATACCTCTTTAATGCAGACACTTCTTTAATACGCAAACCTTATTCCTGTATTCTTTTAGACTTTGTATGTCAAAATAAGAGAGATAAACTTTGCGACAGTCTCAACAACGCTGAAGGGGGTTGCAATAAATATTATGCTCGACTCGGAATGACAAGTGATGGCTGGAAAAAATTTGCTTGCTTCTGTGAAGACCAGCTGTCGAAGGATATGAACTTTAATTATGGATTTGGAAATTATGAATATCATGACAATATAATGGCAATAAAACCTAATTACTGATGAGATGCGGCCATCCAACCGTCCCCTGTGAGACCTTCAACACCAGCAGAAAATAGCCTATGCGCCTATACGCACTATATTTAAAGTACACGTAGGCACTTGCAATACCTTCACCCGTCACCTGTGTTATAAAACACTTAATTAATTAATAATTTCAGTAATTACTGATGTAAATATGATAAATGTCTGTGATTGACGAATTTGTACAGTATTAAAACTTTTATTCACCTTACGAGTACATATATCATTTTGTATATTTTACGCATCGTCCACAATCCGAAAGTGCTAGATTCCCTCTCTCCAGTAGTATAACATAGTTCAGTTTCGTGTTTGAGGGTATTGAGGGATATAGTGGGATCTTCTCGGCATACTGCAAAAATCCTGGGTTCTAGCTGGAGGGAACGCTTCTGATTGGTCAGTTCGAAGTCAGCGCGGTTAGCTCGAAAGATTTTGTCTTTTTATTTTCGTAGTCTCTTGCTGTATTCATGATGAAATCTTCAAGGTAAAATGCATTTCTTTTGCACTATTTGCTAACCTAAAACGTGAGTCTAATGCCTTTGTTTTGTATTTTAGCACTCCTTCGCCGTATCCGCGAAAAACGCCAAGGAAAACGCCGAGAAAACCATCGAAATCAAAGCCAACTGACCCAGTCGAGGTATAAAAAATATGCCGAACAAATTCATATTTGTATGGGAGCGAATATTCATATAGGAAAACGTTTTGACTTCTTCAACAAAGCTAGTATTTAAAGTAGGATAAAGTGGAGTTTTGCTCATGAAATGTTATAAATGTAAACTGTTTTAGTGGCTTTTGATTCACAAAAATTGTTTGAGAAACTTTGTTACAGAATTATGTAAATATTTCTGTACTCCGTATTTTTCGTTTATTAAAATTGATCAGAATTGTAAGAGAGCAAATATATTTTTATAATACTGACCACAAAATGAGGCTTATATATAGCTGTATGGAATACAATATTGAAATATTTCAACTAAAAAAAGGAATCTTATTAATTTGGTAATTGCCCTTCCCAGTCAATTTAAGTTTGTTATGTAATCATTTTCTACCACGAAATCATGAGATATAAAAAAAATCATGCCAATATCACTCCAAATACACTACAAGGCAGGCCTGCGTGGAATGGGTTGTTCCAGAAAAGTTAATAATAAGTGTATTAGCTAGCACATCTGAAGTGGGAAGGAAGGTTAACGTCCAATTTCCTCAGTGGTTGTAGACTTGCTCCAAGTCTCTCTTTCATTGTCATATAGTATCGATCCACTATAGTGTAAATTACATGACGTAGCACAGAAGGGCGGAGCGAGAAAGAGAGACTTGTCAACTTCGGAAAATCTCGGTTCAAAACTGAACCGAAAATGCAAGACTTGCTTTAATTGTTTTCTGTCAGTGTTTATATGTATTGATTTAGCACAGTGTAAATAACATGAGTTCCATTATATTAATAATACAGAAAGAAATTGAAGGAAAACAATTAAAGCAAGTCTTGTATTTTCAGTTCAGTTTTGAACCGAGATTTTCCGAAGTTGACAAAGTCTCTCTTTCTCGCTCCGCCCCTCCGTGCTACGTCATGTAATGTACACTATAGTGGATTGATACTATATGACAAGGAAAGAGAGACTTGGAGCAAGTCTACAGTGGGTGAGGCATGGTATTTTCTGAAATGACCCAGTGAGGCTTTTGTCCACCAGACATGTGCGCCAAATACTTGTAAATATATTGCTGTACTAGTGGTTGTCAGAGGTCTTGTCCAGCGCACAGCGCTTGCATTCCATACTGGCGACATGGTCCAAAAATTCTTACTTGCAACTAGGTATTCTGCCGTATACGACCTCTGAATGACAACGAGGAAGACATTTGTGTTGAAGTAATCAGTAACAACACCATTCAGCTAAATCCACCACAGGTATGTGAATGAACATGCTAATTCAGTATGAACAGTGAACTCTATATATCTGTAAGGCCTAAAAAATACCTGTGGTTCCGGTTTCCTGACCGAGCCTGTTTTTTTTCTGCCAACCCTATTTTTCCTGCCGACCCTATTATTTTTTCTCTGTGTGGTTGCGGCCGGGCTGCTCATACAGTGTGCCAAAATGGCATCTGTTGTCACACTAATTATTGAACCAAATTGCCTAAATTCGTCCATAGGAAATATGCATCTCTAGTTAATGTTGATATCGGGACTCTACTGAAAATCGCCCAGCAAAAAACCACCAAAATGATGACAAAAATATTCAAAAAAATGATTTCTGACCTACCTACCCTAATTTTTTCACAATATGAAACCGGAACCACAAGAATTTTTTTAGGCCTAAGTACTATGTGTCAATTAAACCACTCTCGAGTAAAGACTGTTCAAACAACAATTATAATCATAATAATTAATATCAATGAAACCCGATACTAATGTACAGCAGTTACAACAATAACATTACTTCATACAACAATAACACTATAATACTATGTCTGGTCTTTGTTGTCATCCCCTCTAGAATTCTCAAGGATTCAAATCTGGACACAGAGTCACTGCCGTGAGTAATCTTTTAGTAGTGAATAACCCAAATAATCTAGCATGCTTTTAATTAAAATCAGTTGTCTTTTGTGCAGTTGATACCTGGTGTCATACTGGTTGTCTAGAATCCACATAATTATTTTAATTTCAAGAAATATTTCAATCTAGACTCAACATTCTTTCAAACAAGTATTTGATGAGGACAGCAATCAGAAAAGTGTGTTCGATACTGTGGCGCTTGATATTGTTCATGATTTAATTCATGGAAAGAATGGTTTGTATTTTGTACTGTATTTGTTAACATCTGTCAGCTGTGTATGTTGTAGCTTAATATACTATGCAAAACTCACCCAGGCCCAGTCATGATCTGGTATATTGACAGAACAGAAGCCAAAGGTGGTGCATTACTGTGTTATAATGGTTATACACCTCTTATTTTTCAGGTCTTATATTTGCGTATGGCATCACAGGGTCGGGAAAGACGCACACCATGACCGGAGAGCCGAGTGATGGTGGTTTATTACCTAGGGGACTCGATGTTCTCTTTAACAGTATTGGAGGATTTCAAACCAAACCTTGTGTAAGAAGGCTTGCAGTTTAATTCATTGCAACATTCAGCTTTGACGTTTCCAATTCCCCATCCTGAAGCTCTATCACTAGAAAATATAGAATCTTATTTGTCAATTTTTTGCCCCCCCCCCTTTAATTTAAATTATTTTTCAAAGCTTTCCAACCCCCCTGAAATTCTTGATTTTGTGCAATTTGAAACGTCTTGATCAATTCATGACAGTTGTTTTGCTCACCCCTGCCTTTTTTAAACCAACCCTCCCCTTTTTAAAGTGGGGAGGGAGGCCCACCATATTATTTAAGAAATAATTCACCCCCTGCCTTTTTTTGTCTTTTTTTGAGACAGCTTATCCCCACCCTTAAAGTGGGGGGGGGGGGGACTTGTGGTTTGTAAGTATGGTTTCAAAGTTTCAATGTCTCTTAACCCCATATGCCAACAGGTTTTTACACCAGACAAAAGCAATGGAGTGGATGTACAAGGTGAATCTGATGCCAAGTTGGACCATGACAGAAAACAAAAGGAAATGGCTGTCCTGGCTTCACTGGGCAAGAACAGGTATAGATAATAATAAACGTATTGTTCAACAATATTATTACACAACTATTAACTGTAATCAGTGTTAAAAAGAGCAGAAATTACTGTATCCAGGGACCACGCTTGCACATGGAAAAACAGGGCTGCAAATTACTATCGGACATCGGACAATGTCCGACTAAATTTGGCAAATGTCCGAGCAAAAGTAATTTTGATCGGACTTTTGTCAGATCACAAAAAAATTGTCACATACATTTTTTTGCTATGACATAATCCGATTGCAAATTCGCTCAATTTGCATTTTGCAATAAAATTTACGAGGCATTCTAGCATTTTACTTAACGTTGCGCCGGAATGGCTATACATACTTGTCTAATTGTGACTTATATATAATTATATATGTCCGACCAAATTTAGTGACGTTGGTTTTTGTCCGACCAAATTCAAGTTATGTCCGACCAAAATTAAAAGTGATCGGACAAATGTCCTGCCAAGTCAAATATTTATTTGCAGCCCTGAAAAAGAAAAAAAATGATCTTGCTACTACTGAAAATTTCAGCTTGGAGGGAGCTCTTGATTTTTCATTTCAATTTCAAATTATTCTCACTCAAAATGTTTTAATTACTGTCAAGATGAATTTTTCAATTTGGTCAAGACAAATTTTGTCTTCAGTTGGCTCAGCACACCTTGAAGTCTTTTCCATCACAGACATGGTGGGGTCGTAGGGATAGACTATTGACCTTGGATAGACAACCTGTATGACGGCATGTCATCCTTATTCCTTATCAGGGGTCGAAATATTATATACAGCCGGAATAGTAGATTTTTATATTTACTATTCCGTCTGAAAATCCACTATTCCTTAATGTACTGTTTCTGAGAGCCTGTTGATGCAGGGTCCGCGCTAATGTTCTGATTTTCGTGAAATCATCCTTGGGACTCCTAAAGTGAACTGAATAATTGTAAAACAAACATGTACAGTGCATTGCTCTGTACAGTGTCAGTGAGGAACAAATTATTAATAAAAAACAAAGTTCAAACACTGAAATGAACTTGCGAACTTTATTGGTGCAAAGAAATTAGAATATGCAAGTATTGCAAGCGAACAAGAACTTAGCTACGAAGTGGAACAGTGGCTCAAAGTCCGGTATAAAATGATATATTATACAAGAGGAAAACCCTAGCTTGCTTGTCAATATTTGGTATCATAATTTTTTCTACTATACAAACAGAGTACTGTGATCATGAAGTTTACTATTCCGTCAGGCATTTTAGCATATTCGGAATAGCGGAATAGCGGGAATTTCGACCCT